CATGGGAAGATATTGGTGGTTTAGAAAATGTTAAGCGTGAATTACAAGAACTTATTCAATATCGTGTTGGACATCCGAATAAATCTCTCAAATTTGATACGATGTCATCGCGTGGTGTTCTCTTTTATGAACCATCTGGTTGTGGTAAGTTGACAATTATTTTTTCTTAATTACACAGTAACACCTCTATATGTGGATACCTCCATAAAGTGAGCACTTTTCGCTGATTCCGATGATGGCCACATTAGAGATGTTTTACTATATTTTGATATTTGATTTTAGGTAAAACATTATTGGCAAAAGCTATTGCTAATGAATTTGATGCTAATTTTATTTCGGTAAAAGGTCCTCAATTATTAACTACGTGGTTTGGTGAATCAGAATCTAATGTCCGTGATGTATTTGATAAAGCTCGTCAAGCAGCACCATGCGTGCTCTTTTTTGATGGATTAGATGCAATTGGTAAGATAAAAAATAATAGTAATAAATGAATTTATGTTTTTGTTTATAGATAAAGCTCGTGGTGGTAGTGTTGGTGATGGTGCAGCTGATCGTGTTATTAATCAAATTTTAACTGAAATGGATGGTCTGGGTGAAAAAAAAAATGTTTTTATTGTTGGTGCAACTAATCGACCAGATATTATTGATTCGGCTATTCTTCGACCAGGTAAAAAAAAATAAATAAATATAAATATTACTATATGAGAATTTATATTTTGGTCGTCTTGATCAATTAATTTATATTCCATTACCCGATTATAACTCACGTATGGCTATTTTAAAAGCTGCTTTAAGAAAATCAGCTGTAGCTAAAGACGTTGATATGGCTTATGTCGCAAGTCTAACCATAGATTTTAGTGGTGCCGATTTAACAAAAATTTGTCAACGAGCTTTTATATTAGCTACAAAAGAATCCATTGGAAAAAAACGACAACTTATCCATCCAACAACAATGGCTTCTGGTGAACCACAGCCAGTGCCAGAAATTCATCGTGATCATTTTGAAGGAGCTATGGAATTTGCTCGACGATCAGGTAGTGATAAAGATATAAGTAAATATGAAATGTTTGCTCAGACATTAGAACAATCACGTGGTTTCGCTACACAATTTCATTTTCCTGGTCAACAACAACCATCACGAGCTATTGGCGATCAAGATGGAGATGAACCTTCAATAAACCAAATATGAAAAAAGGTAATAGTTTAATTTCAAGAAAGATAAAAAGTCTCTTTTTTATGTTTAGATTCGCCAAATCCAGGAATCGAGCGAAAACCTTACGAAAAAAATAGAAGAAAAAAATCAAAAAATACAGCAGTTAACAAAAGAAGTAGAAGTTCTTCGTATTCATCGAGATGGACTGGAAGAGGGACTGATGATGTTACTTGAAGCTGAACAATAAAAATTTTTTAAACTTTTATTTTTTTTATTCTTTCTCGCAGAGGTGCAAAATCTGCCGCTAAAATAAAAAGATTAACATCCACAACTGAATAAAGAACATCAATCATATTGAGTTTATGAAAAATAATGGATAAAATTTCATCGGGTAAATCGAGTATATTGAGATGATTGTTATTTAAATTGTTCATATCTAATTCATACAATGTATTCATGTCAATCTATATATATTTTCTCATTACGGTGTCTATAAAAACAATAACGAATAAATATCAATGTCGTCATATTGTTCTATGACCAAGGTAACAAACAGACTAGACTAATTCAAAGTGAACTAACCAAGGAAATTGGCATTGCTAGGTAGAAAAGTGTCAATCATATTTCTTAATTCACTTTGAATTAGTTAAATCTGTTTCTCCGTCGAATATATAAAGGTATTTTTCTTTTTGTCTAATAATTTCTTCTATAATTTCTTAGTGATCGTGCATCGATGATCGTCTTATTCTCTTGTCAAACAAAAAATTTCTCATGTATCATGGTTCTTATAACACACAATATTACATTTAGAATAAAATAAAATATA